TTCCTTGGATATCCACTGTTACTGATGTCTCTGCTTCTTTCCTGTGTGCACAGTTCTTCCAGACTAGTTTGATGCTAAGTATAAATACTTTAGATATGGACAAATTATATTTACTGTGGCTTAATGACTTTGTGTTATTTGGGCTTTATAGCTTTCTCCTGTGAAGATACTTATGTGTGTAAATCATCAAAACAGTGGTTTTCAGTCCTGGTATAAATAGAGAGATCGGCTTTGGAAGAGGAAGCCTTTTGTGAATTCTTTAAAAGAGCTTTGGATTTTAGCCTGTCTCATGGTTATACTTTATGTTTACAAAAGCATAAGGGCATGTTCTAGTTGCAATTCAAAAGTAGTTCAGTGAACAGGTAACTCATAGACATTCACCTACATCTTCCAACTGTATTCATAAAAAAGGAAAAAAAAAAGGGAAACTACAGAAAATCCTCCAAGTTCTGTACAGAACTCCCCTAACCTGTTGTGGTTTCCAATTTATAGTTCAAAACCACCTGCTTGCATTTCAAGGTAAATCTCAAGGGCTGTGTTCAAAGTATGCTCGTTTTGAAGTGTGTGAAGGTTTTTTTTTATTAGGAGACAACTTTCTCAAAGGTGCACTGAAGAAATTCTTGTGGATCTGAAACATCCTCAGACCAGTTAGTGATTCAATTGGAAAATTTTTTATATAAACATATTTTCAGTATAAATACCTTAATGAGATATTGACCCATGAGTGTCCTTGACTCTTCTGTACATTTTATGCTTCACAAGGCAAGTTATATTTCTGAGAGCAGATCTAAGAATCTGGCTCCTGAACTATCAGTATCCAGCAGGTGTTCATGGTGTGGCTCCAGTATCTGGGAGTAATGAACAGGGATATTCAGTGGTCTCGATCCTCCTTCAGTGGAAACCTTGGAGTGAATAATTGTTCCTCCATTCCAAAATGATGTGCATATCTTGTTGCGCAGCGCTTCACTGTAGTTCCTAAGGACGTAGGACTGGTGTAGAGGGACCATAAGAAGACGCTGCTGATAAAGGTGTTGGGTAATGTTACAGAAACTTGGCTTAAGTCTTTAATAGTGAGGTTTGGGTTTTTGTGAGATATTCTTGCCACTTCTCATTCCCTCTGTTTCTTTTAACCATACTTTCTACCTTTTCTGTAATTACAATATTTACAAGTTTTGTAAGATCTAGGCCAAAATACTCAATTGGATTTTTATTTAGAAATGGAACCTTTTTGATCTAGAAGTGTCTTAGTTTGGGAGTGAATAGCTGAGAAACATGTGATTTTCTTAGAAATATTTGTTATAATACAAGAAGAGCTGAAGATAAGAATTCAAATTAGAGATTACTTGTCAAAGAGGAGTGTCAGGAGGGCAGAGCCAGGCTCTTTTCAGCGACGCTCAATGACAGGACAAGGGGCAATGGGTTCAAGCTGGAGCATAGGAGGTTCCACAAAGATATTAGAAAAAACTTTTTCACTGAGGGTGACAGAGCCCTGGCACAGGCTGCCCAGAGAGGTTGTGGAGTCTCCTTCTCTGGAGACATTCAAAACCCGTCTGGACGCGTTCCTGTGTGACCTACTGTAGGTGATCCTGCTCTGGCAGGGGGGCTGGACTAGATGATCTTTTGAGGTCCCTTCCAACCCCTGACATTCAGTGATTCTGGGAAACAAAACACTCTGCTAAGTGTGTGTAGATGTATTGTGTTCTAGTGAGGAGGAAGACCTGAAAATAAGCAAAAAGTGTGAGGAAGGTCATTAGAGGTAGTTTATATGCCTCCTGCTTTAAGTGCTTTTATTCTTTAAGTTAATGGAAAAAACAATGAGGTTTTTACAGATACTTTCAATCTCCACACATTTACTGTCAGCTAAAGAAGCTGATGTTTGTGGCAAAAAGAAAAAAAACCCCACCAACCCAAGGATGTACCTCTACATTTAAAAAGTGGGGGAAAAAAAGGAAAAGTTGTTGCAAAAGTAATGCAAACCCCATGCCAGCTCAAACAAAGCTGCATGCATTTAAGAGGTAACATCTGACTTGCAAATACATCTGTATACACCACCAAGGTAGTATGTGCCTGCTAAGTAATACACCCCTCAGGGAAATACTGCATAAAACATGACAGGAGGCTTTGAAACCCATGAAAGAAGGAGAAGAGAAAGAGGTTCTTAACTTTTGTATCTGTATTGGTTGCATTTAAAAGCTCATGATAAAGCATGTGGCGCCAACGTGAACCCGCCTAAACATACATATCCTCCAATCAAAAAAAACCCAGGTGAAGTTCAAGATGTGATATGTGCATATATGTGGAATGCCAGATTAAATAATATTCCATCCAAGTGTTTCAGACTTTTGTATCGCACTTTTGGATAAAGATTCTTGCAGTTGCAGACTGTAAAATCCTGGTGTGAAGAAGTCTGGTGGCAGAATCTGCATTAACTTCAGCGGAACCGGCATTTGAACTACAAAGTACTGGCAGCTTCTCTAATTCTATATAGACGTTTTCATCTTTGAAAAGCCAGCATTTGTCATTAAAGGGATATGCAATCCTTCACTTATCCAACACATGCTGTACAAGGATGTTGGCTGTCGCTGATAGAAATGTTTTTTTTCCAACTGAATGAACATGTTTCTAATGAGTCATAGCCCAAACAAGTAAATTTTAAAAAGTGATGTGAGTAGTTTTACTAGCAGAAAACTCATTGCCTGTCCAAGTTTTACTCTTTTCAGCTCAGTCACATAAACAACCACTTCTTATTCTTAGAAAAAGTCTATAATATTTGATGAAAGTATTAAGTTCTTTTCTTAGAAAACAGAAACAAAGTTCAGGCAACAGCTGGATTATGTGAAGCATGTCAATTTATTTACCACTTTTTACTGCTAATTGGGGAATACTGCAAAAGGTGAAAGCTATTACTTGGCTGCACAATTTCGTATAAATTGCAACTGTGAGTATGTAATCAGTTGTCATATGGAAAAGTAAACCCTGGTATCCTTGCATCACTGATGATGGAAAGATGTTTACAACTTTCATCATTTTTAAAGCTCTTTAGAAGATTATTGAAAGTAGCTGTCTAGAAGACAGTTTATTCAATCGTTTTAGGTGAAGGGTATATAAAATACACTGAAAGTTGCTTCCTAAAATGTAATTATACATATATAACAGTATGTTACTGTGAAAATCTTTGTGCGTAGTGTTGTGTCTTACAGAGTAAACCCTGCCTGCAAGCATGCTAGCGAGAAGCACATCTGTACCTTTGTTTCCGATGAAATGTTCTTTCATTGAAAAAAGATCTGCATCAGAGCAAATGACAGTTTAGGTGATAAATTTTATTAGCTCAATTTGACGATATCTCTGCTGTGCTCTCACCATGTCAGAATATCTCCTTAGCTTCTCTGTTGTTTGACCTAATCTTTGCCATTAGTGGTTTCTGGGGCAATAGAAAATTAGTATTTCTACCTTGTAAAACCAAAGCATTTTGAACAGAAAAGAGATCTTGTAAACTGAGTCTGCCTAGGAAGTCTATAATTGTAGGCTTTTCTCTTTTGTTGTGTTATTAATTGGGTGTTTTTTTGTTTTGTTTCTCTTTAAATACTGTCATTTTGTGTAATTCTAAAATCTGGTTTATATTTACAAGCATGTAATGTCTTTAATAACATTCAAAGAATTGCTGCTGCAGAAGGACAAAATCACAACATTGCTTTGCTTTGAATAGCACCATTATCACTCTGTGTTAATGAAATTATTTCAGTATTACAATAAAGTTTTTGAAATTCATTCAGTATTAAAGGGAAATTGGGTTGTAATTAGAGCATATTTCAAAAAGAATAAAGGGATCCATGATATGTGCTTAGCTCTTAAAACACCTAATCCTGTATTAATTGTGCTTTGGGCGCATCTGCCCTCATGTGAAGGACTTAAGACGGTGAAGATGAAAATGTTTCTGTGCTTTTAAGGCCAAACAGCTCCGCCAGCAGGTCGGCAGGGTGAGAGGAGCTCTGTTGGAGAGCACTGCTCTTCCTTCCCTTCCCAGCCCCTCTCTCACACAGAAGCAAGCCGCATTCTACTGTCATGTTCCTTTTGGGTTGCTGAGAACTCAAGCTAACTGCTTGCTCTTGGGATTGAATCTGGGTTAATTTTTTTTGTTTGCTTCACGTTTGGGCAGGTGAAAGTCATAGAGGTTTTTAGGTGCCACAATCTAAAATTAAATAGTTGTGTTTAATCTGTGTCTGTTGTGCTACAGACGAGAGAACGTGAGACCACCCATTGCAGCGTGACCTGTGAGGCTGGCGGGGAGTGCCTGCCTTGGTGTGAGGGCAGAGCTCTGCCGGCTTGTCTGGAGAGGAGGGTGTCCAGCACGGTCACATGCAACTCGGGCTTCACACAAACATAAAGATATTTCAAGTTTCAGCAGAGGGTATCAGTGAGGTGGTAAAAATGAGAGAATAACTTCTGGAATTATTTTGAAGAAGAGCTTTGCCCAGTTTGGCGAGCTCCTTCCCCACGAGGAGTCCACTTTTGCTGAATCTATGTGCCATAGGCTGAAGGCAGCAGGGTTGAAAATAAGGGTTGCGGATGCGATTGTGTACCTGAAATGTTGCAAGGAGTGTTTTTCTCAACTGCGCTTTGGAGGGTTTGGCCAGCTTCAGCATTTCACGCTTACCTTCCCATTTATTCTATGATCAGATGAACTACCTTTCTATTTGCCTTACTGTGTTAGGTTGTTAAAGAAAGTAGTTTTCCATTTGAAGTTGCTGCGCTCCACTCAAGCCCCTCTTCTCTGCTGCAGAGTTGCTTAACAGGCTTTGTGGGACCGATGTGGTGCGGTGCAGGAGTGCCGAGCTCTGGGCATGGGTGAACTGAGAGCTTAGCTGAGCAGAAATGGGCAGAGAGCCTCGGCGGGGAGCTGGGGATTTGCACCAACAGAGATGTACTCAAGCAAGACTTGCTTTTCTCCGTGTCTTGTGGTGATTTTGAATATATTAATTGCCACCTTCGTTTCTTTGCAGCCTGTTCCAGCACTACTGCTATGCGCGAGGTGGCATGCGCCACACTTCCTACACTTGCATCTGTGGCAGGTAAGTCAATGGTTTATACTGAACTGTTGCAGTCTTTATGGTCAGTTTCCCATGGCATATTTGTAAAATTGTTCCTTTCAGGCACCTGATGTGTTTGCAAGCGGCACCAGAGTAAGTTTTGAACTGCTTCCTTTGGAAAAGCCAAAGAAAGGTGACTAGTGCTGTGTCTTAAAGACATTACTCGGTTAGAGATTCTGCCACACTCAAGAGATTCCCCAATGACTGCTGCTACTGCCAAGGTTGTGTTTATGCTCACATCTGTGCTGCAATTGGCTTTTTTATCAAATAGTGTTATGGCGAAGGGCTTTAGAGCTATTCTCTGTTGCTCAAAAATAGTCTCTTTGAAACACACTTTAAGTATTTCATATAATTTTCAGAATTCTTTTCCTCAAAGCTTAGGATGTGATTAAACTGGTCTTCTTAGAATTTGAGAAATTTTTGCTCTCGTTTTGCAGAACACCTCATGGTGAAGGTACTGTGTTTGGGGAAGTATTATGAAGTTCTCCCTGAAGTTGTAGAAATGCACAGTTTTAATTTTCAGAATTTCAAGAGAATAGTGTAGGATACATGTTGAACAACAGCTGTGTGCCTTCTGCAGCGATTAATCTTACTTAGTCAGTGGAGTTAATCTAATCAGAGGTATATGACAGTTAGATGAGGCATATATGTTGAGATGTATGTTCCTCTTGTACTCATCAACATTTGCCCTACACTGAAGTGTGCACTGTACCCATACACTTACAAAAATAATTTTTGTGTTAGTGACAATAATGTTATATTGCTTTGGAGGTAATAAGGATAATTAGCATCTTTGCTTCTTTCTGCTGTTTACTGAATTGCTTATTTGTAAATGCAATTTTCCAATTTATATGCAAAATTGCAGTAGGAGCATGAGCTGTTTTATGGCAAATTGTGCATTTAAATTGTCTGAAAAGTTTCCTGGTTTAAGTACCATCATATAACTTAAGAATTAACATCCCATTGAAATGAGACTCCATCTCTATGCTATTGTCACAGTCTGTGGTGGTAAAATCAAGTTGTCTGTGTGTATAGTTTTTCACAGCCATACAAGCTTTATACTTACTTATAAATCAGAACCTGTGCTGCAGGATCTGGTTTGGGTGCTAGAGAACATCGGTGTCTTTGCTAAATCTATAGAAACGTCCACTGTGTGCTTGTGTAGTGGGTCCTTGCGACCCCGCAGAGACCGACCAAATTCTCTACAGCACTGAAGAAGCCAGGACTTGTGTTACATCACTGAGGGAACCCGAGAGAAGGGAAGCCCCAAGAGTAGTTCAGAAGTGGGTGATGGCAGGAGCTTCCCAGGTCTCCCATCTCACCGTGCTGGCGGGGTTTGCAGGGCACAGGAGCGGTGTTTGAGCTGCCTCTGAACCCTTGCAAGAGCCTAACAGTGTCATTACTCCTCATAGCTGTAGTTGGGAGCTAGCGTTGTATTCTACCACTGCAATTAAAAGGGCAAACTTGACTTTTTAAAAATTATACATTGCATAACATAGAATACTAAGGCTTTTGTCCATAAATTGCTATATTCTGACTATCAATGATGAAGCAGG